TCTGCTGGACTCTTTCCAATTTTTCCACATCCTTCTTGTTGTGTGGGGCCCCAAACTGGACACAGTACTCCAGGTGAGGCCTCACCAATGTCAAATAGAGGGGAATGATCACGTCCCTCGATCTGCTGGCAATGCTCCTACTTATACAGCCCAAAATGCCGTTAGCCTTCTTGGCAACAAGGGCACACTGTTGACTCATATCCAGCTTCTCGTCCACTGTAACCCCTAGGTCCTTTTCTGCAGAACTGGTGCCTAGCCACTCGGTCCCTAGTCTGTAACAGTGAATGGGATTCTTCCATCCTAAGTGCAGAAATCTGCACTTGTCCTTGTTGAACCTCATCTGGTTTCTTTTGGCCCAATCCTCTAATTTTTCTAGATCCCTCTGTATCCTATCCCTACCCTCCAGCGTATCTACCACTCCTCCCAGTATAGTGTCATCTGCAAACTTGCTGAGAGTGCAGTCCACGCCATCCTCCAGATCATTAATGAAGATATTGAACAAAACTGGCCCCAGGACCAACCATTGGGGCACTCCACTTGAAACTGGCTGCCAACTAGACATGGAGCCGTTGATCACTACCCATTGAGTCCGACAATCTAGCCAGCTTTCTATCCACCTTATAGTCCATTCATCCAGCCCATACTTCTTTAACTTGGCGGCAAGAATACTGTGGGAGACCGTATCAAAAGCTTTGCTAAAGTCAAGGAATAACACATCCACTGCTTTCCCCTCATCCACAGACCCAGTTATCTCCTCATAGAAGGCAATTAGGTTAGTCAGGCATGACTATTAGGTTAGTCAGGATGTTACCCAATATGTATGCATTTTCATAAGAGATGGAAGGACTGTGCGATAAATATCAATAACTGATGACATCAGATTTTATTGCCACTGAATAGATAATTTACTTGGGCAATACCATAAACTGAAAGACACAGGCTCCTTATGTAGACAACAAGTGCCACCTAGTGGAATAGAGGTTACAGTGAAATTGCAACCAAATATTTTTACCAAAATTGAAAGATCAGTAGATACATTTAAAACAGTAGTGTGGAATGGAAAAGGGAAGAGAGGGGCATTGCCCTAGTAGGAGATTCTAGATGCAGGTAAGGGAGGATCCTTTTAGGGAATGGCATTGATGGCCTTGTAAGGTAGGCCTGGCACTGATGGTTTTACAATTGATATGCTGCCCTGCTCAGGAAAATGAAATTATAGCAAGACAAATACATATTTGTGCCATTTCTGTGGTCCATTCAAAGCTGTTAATGGGACAGTGTAACAGTTGCTTCTACCAGACAAAACAGCTGTCCAGGTCTGGGACTGTGAAACAAATTCTCTCAGGAACTAAGGACCGTCACAAACCTCACCACCTTCTTCTCCAAGTGAAAGATGCATTTATTTGACCTTGACTTTTCTAATATAAATGCATAGAAACATGTATATTTTAAAAAATACTCTAAAACTCTATCAAAACAAGACACTTCACTGCATATGCTTCTTACCACGGGGAGAAGATGAGAGAACAAACAACACGTGAAAGATGTGCAGTCACATTGCTTAATTCACTACTGGAAGGCACTTGGCTACTATGGTGATAAACGTGGTATATAGAAAAAAATAGAAAGTGAGCTTCACAGTAGCATCAGGACTTCAGGGTACTTAAGGAACCAGCTGAAGCAATCTCAGAACCATTAGCAATTATCTTTGAGAACTCATGGAGGATGGGTGAGGTCTCAGAGGAGTGAAGAAGGGGAAACATAATACCTCTCTTAAAAAGGGGGAACAAAGGGGATCTGGGAAATTATAGACCAGTCAGTCTAACTTCAATATCTGAAAAGACACTAGAACAAGTTATTAAACAATCAATTTGTAAGCACAGAGAGGATAATGGAGTTATAAGGAATAGTCAGCATGGATTTGTCAAGAACAAATCATGCCAAACCAACCAAATTTCCTTCCTGGACAGAGTTACTGGCCTAGTGGATGTGGGGGATGCAGGAGATGTGATATGCCTTGATTTTAGTAAAGCTTTTGACACAGTCCCATGCAACAGTCTCATAGGCAAACTGGGGAAATGTGGTCTACATGAAATTACTGTAAGTTGGGTGCACAATTGACTGAAAGATCTTACTCAAAGAGTAGTTATCAATGGTTTACTGTCAAACTGGGAGGGTGTATTTAGTAAGATCCCCCAGGGGTCAGTCCTAGCTCCAATACTATTCAGTATTTTAATTAATAACTTGTATAATGGAGTGGAGAGTATGCTTATAAAATTTGCAGATGACACCAAGCTGGGAGCAGTTGCAAGCACTGGAGGACAGAATTTGAATTCAAAATGACCTTGACAAATTGGAGAATTGCTTTGAAATCAACAAGATGCAATTCATTAAAGATAAGTACAAAGTACTTCACATAGGAAGGAAAAATCAAATGCACAATTACAAAATGAGGAATAATCTGAAAAGGATTTGGGGATTATAGCGGATCACAAATGAGAGAGAGACAAGGTGGGTGAGGTAATATCTTGTATTGGACCAACTTCCATTGGTGAGAAAGACAAGTTGTCAAGCTTACACAGAGCTCTTCTTCAGGTCTGGGAAATGTACTCAGAGTGTCACAGAAAAATACAGGGTGGAGCAGATTGTTTACCTTAAGTATATATTTCAAGGGACCATTCAAGGGCCTGTTAAAACCTTGCCAATCATAGGCGGTAAAGGGAAAAAAAGCTGGGTCAAAGAACAAGATGAGAAGGTTCACAGAATATGATGGGCAATTATCAAACTAATGTCAAGTACCTTATGGGGCAACTATTTTCTCTGAGATGCTTTAAGTCACCAAACTACTACTTGAGGTGAGGGTGAGCTTCCACCAAACTGATAATTGATGGCCATGAATGCAGAGGCTTGAATAATTAAGAAAGAACTAATCTAAATGATTTAAAAACAAACAACAGCCTCCTCCTCCCACCCTTCATTTGGAATGATTTTCAGAGATGTATTCTACAATGCATATTAGCAGAAGAGACACATGCAAATAGATTTCTTTTTAAAATTGAAAGTGAGTGAGGAGAATAGAAAGAGGTGATGTGACTAGAGGTTACAGTATTGCCAACCACAAGTGATCAAAAATCATGAAACAGACCCCTAAAATCATGAGATTTTATAAATAATAAAGTAATATATCGTTACCTCCCATGTTCATAACTGATAACAAATGTTTGCTTATATTTGGTCCAGTCTTTGCTGGATGTTCTAACTCATCTCCAGAAAGAAGATCAAGTCAAACTATGAGCCTCAACTGTAATTTCTTGTTCCCCAAAGTTGGCAGAAACTGAGTACTATAAAGCCAGTGTAATCACTCCTGGAGGGGAAAAAGTGCCCCTCTCTTACTCAGCAGTGTCCTCTATGACCAAATAAGGGATAATATTGAAAGACATAAGAAGGCCCAGTCCAGTCCTCTTTGGCCAGAAGGATTTAGGCTGGAGCATGAGACCTTAAAGGCGGGTGGTACTAAAATAAAAATATATGTATATTTCCAGTTTAAATTAAAATACTTTATATTGAATATCCTAGCCAAGATAGTATGTGGGTAGCTGACCAGTCTTTAGTGATAAAATTAACACAAATAAAACACTCAAACAGTCAAATCAACTTTTAAAAGACCTTTAAATAAGCTACACTTCAGTATCTAAGCTGCTTTCTGAATATACAATAGTTTTATTCCATAAGTCAATTTGGATACAGAAGGTCAATAATAGTTTAGGCCCTGCTCCTGCTCCAATGGCAAAACTTCAATTAACTTAAGGAGCAGAATCAGACACATAGAGACAGATTCTGTGGTCATTTTGCACAAAAGGGCTAGGACAGAAGAAGCCTTCCTCACTCCGCACAAAATTACTGTCCCTCCTATATGGGGAGCTCAAGGATTGGTCTCTTTAGTCTGTCAGGAGCACACAATACCCTAAAGACGATGAGTAGTTAAGGCGAAGAGGTAGAGCTTGTCACTGTCCTCTACTTTGGCCCCACTCCATGGAGCGGGGCCAATCTCACTGGATGGAGTAAGCTGTATCCACAAAGGGTGTAATAGTGGGTGTGTTTCTGGGGAGTGCAGGAAAGACAGAATGTTGCCTGGTGCTTGCACTGTGGTGGTACTGCTTCACCTCTTTCAGGCGTGATCGAGCTCTCTGTCAGGAGCACTGACATTAGATAAGATATGGTATAACACCATACAAGATAATTTTCCATAAGGGTCTTAGTGGTTTTACTTGGCAGCAGAAAATCATTAATTTCCAATCATTCGTTGGAAAACTGGAATTTTTTCCTGCAAGAAATTTTGAATGAAAATCTTTCAATTTTTGGTCAAAAACATTTCAGTTTTCCAATGGGAAGTTCTGAATTAATTTGATTAAGATGTTATGTATGTTTTTTTTTAAACCGAAAACTGAAACCAAATGGCATTTTAAATGGAAACAAAATGAACATTTTTTCATATGAAAACATCAATTCAAAATGAGAATTTTTTTTTAGAAATTTTCTGCAAAATGTTTTTGTTGTAATTGACATATTCCGATGAAAAATTTGTTTCAACAAAACTATTTTTCAAAGGGAAAACTTTCAGCACAATAAATAAATAAATAAAATGCAAAATTGACCAGCTCTAATAATTAACCTGTGACAATATTCTATTCCACTGACATTCTCTTAATCCACACTCACACATTTCTGATTGACTTCTTGGCCAAATTGTTTATTGATAGACACAAGAAAAAAGACAATGAAAGGCTAATAGTAACCATTATTTTGAAGCACGTTTCTTCATCTTCCTATCAAAGTACTTGATAAGCTGTGCCACTATTCCAGTCTGACCCGTGGATTCTGGGTAAAATCATTCACCTTGATTAAGCCATCAGGTCCAATGCTGCATAAAGAATGAAATATATATTAAATTCATTGAGCCCTGCATTTTCATTATAGAGGTAACAGAAAACATAATACTAATTATAAACTTCCCCTCTTCCACCCAATCTCTGCTCCCTGTGCTGTAGTCAAACTTCTCTTCTCTCCAAACTGTACTCTTTGGCCCTCCTCCTTCTGCAGTTGAAGTCAATGGAAACATTTGCATTGACTTTAGCGGGAGTTGGATTGAACCCTTTGTCTCTTTCATCCATCCCAGATCATAACTTTCCCATGGCATCCTGTACACTTGGAACAAGTTTTTAATTTATTTACATCAAGATGCCTCCCTTTTTCAAAATACACATAACAAAACATGAAGCATTTACTCTATATTGTCATATTGTTATACCATTTACTATAATGACCATTCAGCATTCTGGGCATATTTGTTTTATTCTATTGAGCTATATTGCACTGTTTTAACTTTAGGGGCAGAGTCTCACCTGGTATAAATTGTCAAAACTTCTTTGAAATCAGTGGAGCTATGCCGTTTTTTCTAGCTGAGGATCTGCCCCTTAGAGTGTAAGCTATCTGGGGCAGGAGCTTGTTACTTGTCTAGTGCTATATAAATAATAAATGGTAATAATCCTTAGGACTCTGCCACTTGAACTCTGTGCTTTTCTTTGGACTGAAAGAATTTGGTGCCAGGACAACATCTTTCTTTGTCTCCTTTGAAGCATTTAGCACACCTTTTGGTGCTATACAATGAATAATAATGATTCCTCCTTTTTCTTGTCTCTTCCTCCCCCATTATTATTGGCCTTTATTGCTCCCCCATAATTACCTTTCACTCCCTTATTTTAACAATTCTTTCCCTATGACTGCTACTATTTTCACTTCTTCCTAGTCTGTTTTGCTCTCTCTACCTTCTGCCTCTCTTTTCTACTGTCTCCCTTCCTCGTTTGTTCCTCCATCCTTCCTGCAGTTTAATAGCTACAGCATAAATACATGCCTCTAATGAAGGAACCTTTAACTATGGTTGACATTTGACAAAGATGTACTTACACCTCCTGTTCAATGTAATTCAGCATTCGGCTGACATGAGATGCTGAAATCTCCCCATCCACTTCAGCAATGTATGTGTAGAGAAACTGGAAAGTGCTAAAAGGAATACGTGGGGGTCCACTGTCATAATCGCTGGATAAAACCTCACATATAATCTTCAGTGTTTTTGCAATAGTCTATTGGGAAAAGAGAATAAAATAAGTGAGCCTCACTTTTGGCACTATCAATGAAGAGACTAGAGGCCTACTTTTCTTGGTATGGAGAGAAACACTGTCATATAGACACAAAAAATCTGTCTCAAAAGCCATAAATAAAGGATTGAATGATAAATGACAATGTAATGAATAAAAGGAGAGGTCTGCTGGGATCTCCAGGAGCTGGATTAAGGTTTATTTTATTTAACATCTTTATTAATGGTCTGGAAGATGAGATAAGTACTTGGAGGTTGTTTGATGAATAGTACTATTATAAATATGACATTATTCATATTATAAATAGTACATTTATTTTGCAGGTGATACTGAGGGCTAGATTCTGTCTTTAGGCCCAGGCTTGTGTGAGGGCTGATTATTGAGCAGTTGCATTTCAGGAATAGCTCTAAGAGGCATTGAGCCTTTGAGGTTCATTTCCCTCTCTTTTTTCTCATTACTCTCGCTGGGCAGCACTTTTCTTTTGGCCTATACCAGCAGCAAATTTTGACACTCTCTGTGCTGGCTGGTGCATTAGGGAATGGAGTTAAGGCTTTGCCAATTACCAGCCCCTCCATCCAAACCTGCCCTATGGAAGAGTAAATGGGCATAGATTATGTACCCGTGCACTTCAATTTAAGATCTGGTTAACCAGTTAAGGGGGTGTAAGAGGTTTTCAAACGCCCTCTTACTCCCCTGTGTGGGAGCATTTATTATGCATGTCAAAGTCTAGTGCGAACGTGGGAGGTATTGCAAACAAGATCTAATTCTATAATCCGACTCAAGCAAAATTCCCATTAAAGTCAACTAATATAAAGGGACCTGAAAAGTTATCAGTAGGGAAATAATAAAATAAAATTCATCCCGGAAAAATGCAAACTAATATATTTTGTGAGGTGGGAAGTCAGCTATTCAATGGGAAGGACAAATCTAGAGCACAGTAATGACAAAGTGGTGATGGTGAACAGCAATGGATATGGTGTCACAAAATACTCCACTGTGAATGTGGTTTTCATATGTAGAGAAATCATGTCACAGGTTACAGGAATAACAATCCTACTGTGTAGTTTATGATTCAGGTGGGATTGCGCCTGCAACACTGTATACTTCTCAATACCAGAAAGAGGTTGAAAAATTGGAGGGAATTCAGAGAATAGCAACAAAAATTATTTAAGGATTGGAGGAATTAATTTATAAGAAAAGACTCAAACAAAAAATTATGTAAAAGCTGGGTACGTTATGAGTAATGCAATATATTATTACAAGCCCAACAGGGGTCTCTCTCAGTGCCCTCTGTAATGTCTCCCACCAGTTGTCCATGTTCCAGGATAGAGTAGTGCCCCAGGGCTCCCTCCCTGGCAACATTTTCACCCTCTTAGGGCCTTTCCGTCTGCAACTCTCCAGATGGGCTGTTGCAGTTCATTTCCCCCCTTTGGGGTAATTATTTGTTGTGGTGTCATTTGAGATCTCAACCCTGTTGAGTGATGTGATTGGGTGGACTAGGCCCTGAGGCCCCCTGCTGGTGGCCTTTTGGCCCCACCACACCCACCCCAGAAAAGGGCAGTAGAGCAGTCCTCCAAGCTGCCTAGAACGGCTGTGTGGGAAGCAGCCAATCAGGGCCCAGCAAACTAGTATAAAAAGAGCTGCACGGGGCAGTTCCTTGCTAGAGCTGAAGGAGAGTGGATGGTGTGTGGCTGGCTGAGGGATCTGCAGTACCTTGGATGAGGCCGTGCTGCCAGAAGCTGGGGAAAGTGAGAAGGAGCCCTGAGTGGGTTGTGGGGACTCCATCAGGACAAGGGCCTGAGGTAAGGGTGAAGATGGCACAGGACTGCGAGGAAGTGGCCTCAGGAATTAGAACAGCAGTGGGACTTAGATAAAGGGACACAGTGGACAGTTGCTATCTACAGGGTCCCTGGGTTGAGACCTGGAGTAGTGGATGGGCCTGGGTCCTTCCCATCCCCATTAACCACCAGGGAAAGTGGCCTGGACACTGAGGCACCCCAAAGGGGGGAAATGAACTGCAACAGCCCATCTGGAGAGTTGCAGACGGAAACGCCCTAAGAGGGTGAAAATGTTGCCAGGGAGGGAGCCCTGGGGCACTACTCTATCCTGGAACATGGACAACTGGTGGGAGACATTACAGAGGGCACTGAGAGAGACCCCTGTTGGGCTTGTACCCCAGAAGGGGTTATGCTTGTCTTTTATCACACAGACTGTGTGTAACTTGGCCAGAGGGCTTAGTCACCGAAGACCCACTACAAAGAGAGAGAGAATGTAAGCATATGCACTGGGCCAGAGGGCACTTGCGAGAGGTGAGTGTGACCCCATTACAGGTGGGTAGTATATAAACATAACAAAAGGATGGTTTCTGTGGCAAAAAGTTTACAATATCAGATGACAGACTGGTGCAACAAATAAAAACTGTCTACAAGATCTGAAATGTGTAAAGAAGAACTAAGAGTTGCTTAGGATGGTATACTCTGGGGAGCTGAGACCTAACCTTTTTATGAGTGCTGTCATCAGCTAAGGTGAAAGAAAATTCTTTTGCTTAGGAAAGTACAGGAAACAAACTAACAAAAGGAAGGAACTAGGAACAATAGAAGCAGAGCTGCAAGCCACCAAATCACACTAGAAAACAGGATGACCAGCTCTTTAGGCAATTATCTATAAGACAGGAAAAAAGCTGCATAATCATGGAAGACTTCAATCTGAGTGACACATGCTGGAGGTCTCATGCCACCAGTACTAAAATATCCTTGGAATTTATAAAAATTATAGATGACCATTTCCAAACTCAAAAATTGTTGCATCCAACATGGGGCAATTTATATTAGACCACCTCTTGACAGATGAAGAGGAATTGATCATAGATATAAAAATCAGAGGATGCTTAGGTGTAAGCGATCATGACTTGGCTATATTTGTTATGTGTAAGCACAATAACTTCCAAACCAGTAATATATGTACTTATTATTTTTACAAGAACCAGTTTCACAAAACTGAAAACAATTAAGAGACAAATCAGCTGGGAGAAAGAGTTTAAACTAAAATTGTGTATGATAACTTGAAACTGTTCAAGAAGTTTTTACTAGATGTACAAAAAGCCACAAGTGAGGAGGAAGATTATGGTGGTTAAAAAACCTGCCTGGTTTAGAGAGGAAGTGACAGCAGCTATAAAAATATATAACAAATGAGATAAAGAGGAGACTAATAGCTGTGAATATAAATTGGAAGCTAGGAGTTGAAATAACTTGATAAGGGAAGCAAAAGGACACAAGGCAAAATCTATGGCCAGCAAAGTTATGGACAAGAAGGAGTTTAAGTATATTAGGAAGAAAAGGAATCCTAAAAACAGTACTGGTGCATTATTACATGGGAATAGTAGAATTGCCAATAATAATGCAGAAAAGGCAGAAGTGTTTAATAAATATTTCTGTTCTGTGTTTGGGGAGAAAAAAATGATGTATTCATATCATATGACAATTAAATACTTTCCATTCCAACAGTAACTAAGGAGGATGTTAAATAGCAACTATTAAAGTGAAATATTTTTTAAAACTCCTGGATGCAAGTTAGCTGGGCCTGCTGATTTAAAAAGTTGTCCAAGGAGCTCATTGGACCATTACTGTTGATTTTCAATAAGTCTTGGAACAGTGGGAAAGTTCCAGAGCACTGGAAGAAAGCTAATGTTGTGCCAATATTTAAACAAGCAAATGGGATGATCCAGTTAATTATAGACCTGTCAGCCTGATATTGACCTCTGGCAAAATAATGGAATGGCTGATATAGGACTCAATTTACAAGGGGTTAAAGAATATGATGGTATTATGGAAAATAGACCTGTCAGACTAATCTATTTTTTTTTTGAGAGTACAAGCTTGGTTGATAAAGGTAAGAGTATTGATGTGATATACTTAGACTTCTGTAAGGTGCTTGACTTGGTACTGCATGACATTTTAATTAAGAAACTAGAAGAATACAAAATCAACAATGGTATGCATTAAATGGATTAAAAACTAGCAAAGTGATAGGTTTCAAAATGTAATTGTAAACAGGGGATCATAATTAAGCTGGTGTGTTTCTACAGGAGTCCTGCAGAGATTGGTTCTTGACGCTATGCTATTTAGCAATTTTATCAATAACTTGGAAGAAAACAAAATAATTACTGATAAAGTTTGCAGATGACAAAGATTGGGGAGTGGTAAATAATGAAGAGGATAGTTCATTGACACAGGGTTATCTGGATCACTTGGTAAGCTGGGTGCCAGCAAACAATGTGTTTCAATGTGACCAAATGTTTACAGGATGGGGGCGGGGGGAACTGTATCCTGGGAAGCAGTGACTCTGAAAAAGTTTTGGGGGTCAGGGTGGACATTTAGCTGAACATGCGTTCCAAGAGTGATATTGTGCCTAAAAGGGCAAATGATTCTTGGGTGTATAAACAGGGATAAGGAGATTGCCTTACTTCTGTGTTTGGCCCTGGTGCCCACACTTCAGGAAGAATGATGGAAAAATTGGAAAGGTTTCAGAGAAGACACATGAGAATGATTAAAGGATTGGAAAACATGTCTTTTAGAAAAAGATTCAAGGAGATCAATCTATTTAGCTTAACAAAGAGAAGGCTGAGGGTTGACTTGATCACAACCTATGAGTACCTACATGGAGAACAGAAATCTGATAATAGAGGACTCTTGGATTTAGGAGACAAAGGTATATCAGGATCCAATGGCTGGAAGTTGAAGCTAGACAAATTCAGACTAGAAATAAAGTGCAGATTTTACAGTGATGGAAACTAACCATTAGAATAACTTACTGAGGATTGTAGTGGATTCTCTCTTACAATAGATATTAGATCACACCATTCATACAGTGTAAAGCATGCCTGGTTGGTTGGCACTGTTTTTACAGTGACTGCCTTGCACATTGGGGAGCCCCACCCTGCATTCTGTGTGCACCTAAACTTCTGATAAAGAGAGGTTCAGTTGTAT